GCGCCCTCCCAGTGGGGCTGCTGATGGGATGGGATGGGATGGGATGGGATGGGATGGGATGGGATGGGATGGGATGGGATGGCATGGGATGGGATGGCATGGCATGGCATGGCATGGGGGGGCATGGGGTGGGATGGGATGGGGTGGGATGGGATGAGGATGAGGATGGGATGGAGATAGGATGAGGATGGAGATAGGATGAGGGTGGGGATGGAGATGGGGATGGGGATGGGATGGGGATGGGTCCATGTGCCAGGGACAGGGTGTGAAGGAAAACAGGGGCAGGAATAGGAATGGGGATGGGGACAGGGACAGAGACAGGGACAGGGCTGGGGCTGGCACCTTCCTGACCTTGGCCCTGGAGGTGCTGATGTTCTCCATGTTCTCGATGCTGCTGACGCAGTTGTTGGGGACCTTGCTGCAGGCCAGGCGGATGTAGTCCCAAAACCCGCGCTGCCCATCCGAGCTGAACCAGCTGACGGGGCCTGCAGGGACCGAGGGGCTGCAGTCAGGGGCTGCTGTGCCAGCAAACCCCGTCGGTCTGGAGAGCCCCAAGCCAGAGCCCAGACATGCTCCCTGGTGCCAGCATGTGCATGCATGCATCCCCATCCACCGTGCGGCACAGGGATGGGGACAGGGACACGCCAGGGGCTGCATGGGCACCTGTCCCCAAGGGCCACCGTTACCTTTAAAGCGGTGGCTGAGGATCTGCTCGAGGATGGCGGCAAAGTTAACGAACTCCTCGGAGGAGTCGTCGATGGGCTCCGCCGTATATTTCTCCAGCAGGGTCTTCACCGAGAATCTGGTGGGGGGACAGGCGTCACGGGTGGGAAGGGACGGGCACCCAGCACCATGCACCCAGCACCCTGCACCCAGCACACGTTAGGTCTTAGCAACGGAGCAAAATGCTTTTGCAGACATTGGCTTTCAAGCCCAGCAGTGGGAAGAGGGCGGCGGGCCGAGCCGCGGGCTGTGGCTCGCTGACCCCCGTGTCCCCGCGTCCCCGGGGAGCCCGCCAAGGCAGCTGCCGCTCCCCCGCCGTGTGAGCGGCCAGGAAGGGCGAACAAAGGCCCCCTTCCTCCCCGGCCGTGCGCGGGTGGTGATGGCTTCCCCTTCCGCCCGGCCGCTCGTGCTCGGCGGAGAGAGATGCCGAAGACACGAAACCTTCTGAGCCCGGCAGGACAGCGGGGGACGGGGCAGGTGTTTGCCTGGGGGGGATCACCCCGTCTGTGGGTCACAGCCACACAGGGGGAGGGTGAGACTGGGGATCCCCATGACGGCAGGTAGAGGGTGCCTCACCGTGGCAGAGGGGTCTGGAGGTGCCTCATGGCACGGCAGTGAGGTCTGGAGACATCCTGGTGTCAGGATGAGGGGCCTAGAGGTGCCCCGTGCCATGGCGAGGAGCCCGGGAGGTCCCCATGTCATGACAGTGGGGTCAGGAGGTGCCCCGTGCCATAGTGAGGAGCCCTGGAGGGTCTCCATGTCATGACAGCAGGATCAGGAGGTGCCCCATGCCATAATGAGGAGACCTGGGGGGCCTCATGTTGTGACAGCAGGGTCAGGAGGTGCCCCGTGCCATAGTGAGGAGCCCTGGAGGGTTTCCATGTCATGACAGCGGGGTCTAGAGGTGCCCCATGCCGTGGCAAGGAGATCCGGGGGGGGCCCATGTCATGACAGCGGGGTCTGGAGGTGCCCCGTGCCATGGTGAGAAGGCCTGGGGTCCCCCAGACCCCAAAAGCAGGACCTGTGGGTCCCTGGCATGGTGACCCCAAGCCTCGGTGCCCCCCACATCCCCCCCAGCAGCCCCGGGGCCAGGCTCCGGTCGCAGCCCAGCACAAGCAGCCCCGAACCGGGGCGGG